ACAGGAGTGCATAAATATGAGGGGCACAGGGGGAGGAGGAGACTGGGTTAGGGTTGGATATGGTAAATGGGGAATGAAACTAAATGTACGTGTTATGTTGAATGTAAAACAAGGTCTTAAAATAAAATTTTAAAAATAGTGAGGTCATATAATATTTGTCCTTTTGTGACTGAACCTACTTCACTCACCATAATGATTTCAAAGTTCATCCATGTTGTAGTCTGTATCAGGATTTCATTTCTCTTTATGGTTGAGTAATATTCCAGTGTATGTATATAATACATTTTATTTATCTCTTGATGGGCATTTAGGCTGCTTGCCTCTTTTGGCTATTTTAAGTAGTGCTGCAAAGAACATTCATATATAAGAATCTGTTTGTGTTCCTGCTTTTAATTCTTTTGGGTATATACCTGGGGCAGATTACCCAACAAACAAGGTAAACACAGGCTTACTTCTGTTTACTTACTAATCTGTAGTGAGCAATTTCATACAGGTTTCACCACATTTTTGTTCACCACATTCTTTCTTATCTTGCTTACTGGGTACTCTGTCCCTTTCACGGATTGTAAATTTGAAAAGAGGCTTTGATTCTATAGAAAAGTGTTGTGAGGTTGGGAGAGAGACAGATGCCAGACATGCCTAGAAGCAGCATATTTGATGTTGGTGAAAACAATAGGAAATTGTCCAGTACAAATTAGAAAGCACAGGCCCGTGCTTTCCTTGCTTATTGGGTAATCCTACCTATATATACCTAGATGTAGTAATGATGTCTCACTTTCTGAGTAATAATTTTTGAAAGATTTTGCACAATCAAATCATCTGTAAGCATTGAAAAGTATCCCGCCACCCCCCTTTCCAATCCTTATACTTTCATTTCTTCCCCCCCTCCCTGTCCTTTCTGGCTAGCTAAATAAAAAATATAAAATAGAAATGATCATAATGGGTGTGGTAGTCAGCCTCCAGCATAGTCCCCAATGATTCCCACTTCCTGCTATTCATACCTTGTATGGTAGCCTTTTCCCACATTGTATCAGGGATTGGCAACAGTGTATGACCAATAGCATATAGCTAGGTAATTACTTCCAAGATTAGGTTATAAAATATTGTGCTTTCTATCTTAAACACTCCATGGTTTTCACTCTTTCCTGGATCATTTGCTCTGTGACAAGCAAGCTAACATCTCGTGAGCAGCCTTATGAGAAGCCCATCAGCCAATAGGCAGCAAGAAACTGAGACTTGCCAACAGCGACCTGAGTGGGTTTGGAAACAGATACTCTAGCCTCAGGTGAGCCCTGAGATAACTGTAGCCCCAGTCAACAGCTTGACAGCATTTTCATGAGAGACTCTGAGCCACAACCACTCTGTTAAGTGCTCCTGCATTTCTGACCCTCAGAAACTGTGTGAAATACTAAATGTTTATTATTTTAGGGTAGTTACCTATAGAGAAGTTCTATACTGGGCAGAAATGATCAGATCCTAGTATCTCCTCTGTCTCAATAGTTGGCAGGAGATAACTAGTACAGTGACCATCTTCATTGTGTTCATCTTTCACTATTAAGTGTGGTGGTTGCTCTTATATTTAATTTTATTTGTTAGATATCTTTATCTAGTTAACGGCATTCCTTTTGTTTTTAGTTAAGTTTTCATTTCAGTCATGTGTGGATGTTGAATTTTATCAACATTTTCTGTACCTATTGAGATGATTTGATTTTTATGCTTATATGGTATTAATGTTTTCAAAATTAATTTTGACTTTCTTGATTCTATTTGGTGCACATTTGTTTTTAATATTTTTAATTTCTGTACTTATTATTTCCTTACTTCCACTTTGTTGATTTTTTTATTTCCTCGCTTTTAAAGTTGAATCATTAGTTTGTTAATTTGGATTCTTTCTTCTTTTTTAATGTACACATTTAAGGTTATAGATTTTCATGGAACACTGCTTTAGTAACACCCTATACAAAACACTTTTTAAAATTATTTTTATTGTTATTTTTAAGTGTGCAATTCAGTAGTTTTTGGCATATTCACAGTGTGCAACCATTACCACTATCTAATTCTACATTTTCATCACCCCAAAAAGAAATCCTATACCCATTAGAACTCACTTACAATTCCGCATTCCCCCAGCCCTTGAAAACCACTAATCTGCTTTCTGTCTTTATGGATTTGTCTGTTTTGGACATTTCCTATAAAAGGAATCATATAATATATATGGTCTTATGTCTGGCTTATTTCACTCAGCATCTTTTCAAGGTTCATCCATATTATAGCAGGTATCAGAAGCTCATTCCTTTTTAAGGCTGAATAGTATTCTATAGTATGTATATTCCAAACTTTTTTTTATCCATTCATCATTGGATGGATGTTTGGGTTGTTTCCACTTTTTGGCTGTTGAGAATAATGCCACTATGAGCATTTGTGTGTAACTGCTTTTTTCACATTAGTAAACGTGGGAGCCATAGAAACGAGCTACTTAGATTTCTGCTGTAAGGTGTGCAGTTAGTTGATACAGTGGTGTACTGGTACCTGCTGTGACTGGCTTGGGAGAGTTGACTGTAAAATTTTCAGAATTTTGTAAACTGATTGTTAAACACAGACACTATTAACAATTAAAATTTTCAAAATGTCAATGAAATAAATTATGCTAGAAAATTTCAAAGAAATGTTATGCTAGATACAAAGATAATTGCTCAAACTCTTTACTTCTTCATTATTTCACTTATATCTATGCTCCTGAGGTTGTGTGCATCTATTACATTTATACGGTAGTAATACTATAAAATGGTGTGTTACTGGACGTCTTGTCCCAAGTTTCTGTTCAGTGATGTCACATTGGTAGCTTGCAATCGACTATGGTGGGAGCAATGACACTACAGAAATCAGCATATGCTACAAATTAGACTTAAGAAAGTTATGGGGAAATGTTAATAATGCAGAATGAACTTAAAGGTATGATGTCTGTAGCTATTACATTGTAAATAGCACAACAAATTGAGGATAATTCCTCCAGTATTAGAAAAGTATAATCTACTTCAGTAAAGAGGTCACATGTAACATTGATGAACCAGTTTTGCCATATGTCTCGGTTGTTTACTTTCATCTTACTCATTAACATAAACAAAAGTATTAGCTAACATTCATATTGAAAACACATTTGTTAATATATTGTAATGTGTTGTAGTTTGGCTACAAATACAAGAGTTCAGCAAAATAACAATAAAACCCAAAAGTATTCTGTGAGAATCAATTGTCTATGTAGAATTTACAGTAAAGAGTAAAGTACATTTTATTTGTTGTAAATTATGTGCTAAAAAAAAAAAAAAAAAAAGTTGCCATCAGGTTGACTCCTATTCCTAGTGATCCCATGTGTGTCAGAACAGAATGTGCAGCACAGGGTTTTCAATGATTGATTTTTCAGAAGTAGGTAGCTAGGTCTTTCTTTCACAAAGCCTCTGGCTGGACTCCAACTTCCAACCTTTTTGTTAGCAGCTGAGCATGTTAACCTTGTGGTATTACCCAGGGAATTGACTCCATGGCAGTGGGTTTGGTTTTGTTTTGGTATATTTTGGAAGTATGTGATTAGAGAGCTTTAATTTAGAATATTCCTGGTAAATTGAAACTTTCCTTCTCATCTAAACACATATCCTCTCCAGTCATTCCTTTTCATCTAATTTTCCCTTTGCAGTGCTTCAGCATCAAGCCCTGTCATGCTATGTGGGTTGAGTTTACTCCAGGTCCCAAGAGGGCATGTGCAGCTACAAAACCAGCTTCATTTGACTGAGTGGAAGTCCTCATCTTAGTGGCTTGGGGTGTCCATACATCATGGATTTCCAGTTTCTGCTCAGAACTTAGCCAGCATTTGTTCTAGTGTGTCAAGCGATCGCTTTGCCAAAACAAATAGCCTGAAGGAAGTGTGGAAATGGGGAATTTTGTAGGTGCTCACACCTGGGACAGGAGATCAAAGGAAGGCTTGGTAAGAAGGGTTCAGATCTCAAAGATGGGTTCTGTGAAGAACCACCACTCACACTGCACAACCAAGAAAATGCCGTTACTCTATGGCAGTGATAGCCGTGTAGGGAGGGGGGGCATGAGGAGGCTAAATGATAGGGCTTAGGTAGCAGGTGGCTGAGACTGTGCCACACTTGCGATTTTGAAGCTCAGCCTCTTTTACAGCCTCGTGGAGCAGAAGGAAGACCATACTTGAAGTGCACAAATTCCAGGTGGGAGGAGTTGTCAGGTATGTGTTGGAGATGGGGTGTGTTTGTGATCACTGTTGGATAATCGAGCCTTAAAATCCGCTACTATCAAGCTGACGGATTCCAAGCTGCAAACATCCGGTTCACACTACTGCACAATCACTCATTGATGGGTAGGCCGAGCGACACCCAACTCTAGGCTTTTATTGGTCAAGTCACACGTGAGTGGGCCAGCTAGTGACTTCCTTCTGATTGGCCGATTCCTGCTAGCTCTCAAGTCGATCAGAATAGAATTTACCACGCTCGTTCAGAATCTGTGGCTCTTAGGGGAGCCATGTTAGGTAGCGGGATACAAATCTTGCTACCATTCTGAGATTGCCAGACAACAACACCCCCTGCTTTCCTCCGCCTCCGCTGTATCTCCTTGTAACATATTATTTCAATTAATACAGCTGCGATCTTCACAAAATGAGTTGCTTCCCTAGTACAATGTGGGATATACACGTTTAAGGGGTGACACGCGAAGGAGGGAAGGAGATGGCCTGTTCCTCCCACCAATCTACTAATCCACTAAACAGAATTAATACCGACTGTCACTATGCAGTAGGTACGCGATCCAAGTTTTCGGTAGCGTGCGAGGATTTTGTGTGAGTTTTGGTCCCTCGCGGCCCCTGTAGCGTCCCTGGTTACCGCGCCCCTTGTAACTGCCAGCCGGGAGCAAGAAGCCGCCCGGTCGCCTGAGGCCGTCCCAGCTTCCCCGCCACGGGCCAGCGCGGGCGCTGAGGCCTCGGTGGCGCGGTGATGGACGCCTCGCACCGAGCGGCGAAGCTGGTGGCTTCCAGCCACCAAATCCCGGTAAATCCCAACACCGGAGCGCGGGTCGCCCAGTACGAACGCGAAGATCTGTTAGAGGCTCTGGAGGAGGAGGCGGCGGCGTTGGAGGAGGCGGCGGCGTTGGAGGAGGCGGCTGGGCTGGAGGAGGCGGTGCGGTCGGCGCGGGCGTCGGTAATGCAGGGGCTGGATGTGGGCTGGGTGCGGGGTGAAACTGGTTTGGGTCCCCTCCCGACATAGGGACGGGCTGGGAAATACAGTACCCTGTCCACATCCTCCCCGAAGGTAATTCTCTGCCGGGTGATCCTGACCCCACCACCTTCTCTCTGGGCCCACGAAAAACGAATCAGCTGTGCTGTCAGGTGTATTTGGTGGATCTTAAATACACTACTACTTTAGAGGCAGATGTTTAAAACCATCAAGAATTTAGTGGATAGACCAGATACAGATATAGATAACACAGAGAAATAAATTATCGAGATCCCATTGTTTTCTAAATGGCATTTAGGGGGGAGTGAGACAGCTTTTTCACTGATCAGTTTTCAGTGTCAAATGTGTCGTGGACACCTGTCCCCCAGGTGGAGGGCAGAGTGTGCCATCTGCTCTATTCATTTAAAAGATGAGAACCTCGAATTTAAACTAGCAATCTTTAGATAAATAACTACTTACCACCAGTTAAATTTTCTTAGTTTCATATGTCCAGAACTTCTCTTACACAACACATTTTGGTCTAGGGGTAGGCTAATAGAAATCACTGGCTACTTGGAATTGTGATCTCTTTGATCAATAGCGGTAGCTGTTACTGAGGAAATCTGTAGCAGCAACTTTTATGGTATTTCATCAAACAAACATAAACTACTTGAGGTTATCTACACTGGGGGAGATTGAGACCCAGAACAGAATCAGAACCCTAGGACCAGTTTTGCTCATGATGAAAATTCCCCTCAACACAAGTTGCAGTAGGCAACAAAGGAAGCAAGGGGATAGAGGAAAAAGACTCAGTGGAGGAAGAGATTCTTAGAGTTCTGGAGTAGGATCCAGACTGTCTCTTGCTAGGTGATAGTAGGACTTAACTTCCTTAAGTGTCAGTTTCCTTATCTGTAAGCAAGCTATAATAATTCTCTCTTTTTCTTATCTCACTGACTGAGCACCAGATGAGAGAATGTGTGTCATATCTAAAGATATGATTATATAAATTGGTAATTATAATAGCAACTACCAGTGGGACCGTCATTTCAACGACTCACCCAAAGCTTAAATTCTGTGTAGGCTTTCTGTTGTTGCAGTTATATTTCCAGAGTGCCCTTAAACTGAAAATTTGTATTAGAAACTGTTACTACCTTTGGAAAGTGCAAAGATTAGTTTATATTGGTCCCAAAGGGTAGGGTTCTTTAAAAAAAAAAAAAAAGGAAGAAAAATGGTAACTTTTATGAGTATAATACTGTTCCAAGATGGCCCACACTTGGAGGGTCCCCAAAAAAACTGCCACTTGGGCCTGATTAGCTTGAGGACATGGAGGGTGAGGGAGAGAAACACTGAAAAGGCAGGAAGAGGGCAGAAAGCAGGCTTTGTCTTCTTTATAATTTGGCTTGAGTTTCTAACTTGAGTTTTAAATGGCTTGAGTTTCTAACTTGAGTTTAAAGGTCATTGTGTCTCAACTTTGTCATCTATAAAATGCATTAAACCCAAATATCATACCCACAACACAAGATGAGAGAACTAACTCTCACAATGAGCTTCATTCAGCCCTTTGATTTTTGCCAGAGCCAGACCACTTGCATCCCATCTTAGGACTCACTGCCCATTTGGACACTGAGGTGTGTTCCTTGAATCTAGTCTCGTCTCATACAGAGTAATGGGAAGGAAAGAGATGTCAGTTCATAGGCTGTATAATATGATTGATGATGACATGGGTAAGTCAGTATTGCGTAATTCACAGTTAGAATTTCACTGAATTCCTTAACAGGGTGGCTGATATTGCTACTTTTTTCAACAAAGATTTAGAATTTATTAGGAGCTCTGGTAGCATAGTGGCTAAGACACTTGCCTGCTAACCAGACGGCTGGCGGTTCAAACCCACCAGCCACTCCTCGGAAGGAAGGTTGGGCAATCCTACTTCCCTAGTGATACTGCCTCGGAAACCCAAGGAGGGGTTGCTATGAGTCGGGCCGACTCGACGGCACATAACAACAACAACAACAGTCATTCATTAGAAGCTCTGGTAGCATAGTGCCTAAGGCACTTGACTGCTAACCTGGCTGGTTTGAACCGACAGCCACTCCTCAGAAGGAAGGTTGGGCAATCTACTTCTGTAGTGATAGTGCCTTGGAAACCCAAGGGAGGGGTCGCTATGAGTCGGGTCTGACTGGACAGCAAATAACAACAACAGTCACTCACTAAGGAGCTCTGGTAGTGCAATGGTGAAGCACTCAACTGCTAACCAGAAGATTGGAAGTTTGAACCCACCAGCTGCTCTGTAGGAGACAGTTGGGGCAGTCTGTTTTCAAGAAGATTACATATAGCCTTGGAAACCCTCTGGGGCAGTTCTATTCTATCCTATGGGATTGCTGAGAGTTAAAATCGACTTGATGGCAATGCGTATATGTTTAAGTTGCTGGGTATTCAGTAGTGGATGAAACAGGCAGAGCTTCTGTCTATTTCATCTGGATTCTCACAGAGCTTCCAGTCTCATGGGGAAGTTGTGTGTCATTCAATAGATTTTGCTCATAGCGACCCTATATGACAGAGTAGAACTGCCCCATAGGGTTTCTAGGGTGTAATCTTTATGGGAGCAGATCACCAGGTCTTTTATCCTGGAGAGCTGCTGGTGGGTTGGAACTGCCAATCATTTGGTTAATAGCAAGTGCTTAACCATTGTACCACCAGGATTCCTTGTGGGGAAATTGTTGTTAGGTGCTGCTAGGTCAGCTCTGACTCTTAGAAACGCTATGTATAACAGAACAAAGCACTGCCTGGTCCTGCCCCATCCTGACAATCCTTGCTATGCTTGAGTCCATCGTTGTAGCCTGTGTGTCAGTCTGTCTTTTTGAGGGCCTTCCCCTTTTTTGCTGACCCTCTGCTTTACCAAGCATGGTATCCTTCTCTGGGACATGGTGCCTCTGACAACATGACCAAAGTCTGGCTATCGTTGCTTCTACGGGCATTCTGGCTGCACTTCTTCCAGGACAGATTTGTTTGTTCTTGTGTTTTCAATATTCTTCACCAAACACAATTCAAAGGCATCA